CTGGGAGGGCTGAGCTACTGACCCACTTGGGCACAGGGCTGCTCATCCTGCACCTCTGTGGCCTGTAGGGAGCCGGGCAGGGGCAGGCGGGGAGAGCAAGAGGTAGGGAGATGGACACCAAGAGGCTGCACATTCCAGACTGAGACCAAGGCTGAGGCCTCACCTCTGAGTGTCGGTGCCTAGAAGAGGGCTGGCCTGGGTCCCCTGCCCAGTGGGGAGTTTGCCTTGAGGTCACTGCTTGGAGACCTTGCAGTGGGGCTGCTTACCTGGGAGGTGATTATGTGGTGGGCAGAAAGGCTGTGGCTTATTTATAGGTGGAGTCCTGGAGTCTTAGGTTGGCTCAGGGAGAGAATGAATGGGAGCATCTGCAGTGGCCAAAGTGGCCTGAGAAGATTCAGGAGCCACTCACTGGCCTTGGGCTGGGGGACACAAGTTTTCGCCACCAATCTTCAGGGAAGCAGCCAGGACCCACAATCCCTATCTGCTGGTCGTGAGCTCAGGGCAGCACACATATGTGTGAGAGCCTGTGGATCCCGCCTAGGGCCCAGTCAGGCACTCTGCCCACTGTCCTGCATGTGCTTTTGGGACGATGTTCACCGACTTGGGGGCTTTGAGCAACATAAGCCAAAGTCCAGGGCTGAGACTGAGACTCCTACAAAGGACAGGGATGATTAACTCAGGCAGGTTAACCTAAGGGAGTTACTATGCAAAAGACAAGTGCTGTCATATGTTTGGACTGTAGACCTTGAGTGTGGTCCAGGCTGAATATGCTAGTTGATGTTTGGTATTCTCTTAATTGGGGCTGGAATAGTGACACATACATTCACCTTGTGCTTGTGGATGGCTTTAGGTTGGGAGGGGGGTTCAAATGTCCTCTCTCTTCTTGCTCTCAGCTATGTGGTCCATCGCTGGGGTGGAGGCATGGGGTGACAAGAAAGCCGCGAGTCTTAAAAGCGAGACTTGCATTCCTTTCCTGGCTGGGCTGTGGTGAGCCACCTGAAGTCGGGTGAACACCACGGAGTCTCTGAATTGTTTTCTTCCCTGTAAGATGAACACAGATGTCCGGCTCACATGTTCTCCACCTGTGTCAAGTGATCAAATAGATGCAAAACACGTCATGGGGCCTGGTGCCCTGCTGTTTACTCTTCCAGTGTTGGTGATGACATCAAAAGATACAGAGCCGGATCAACTTCTTAGAAATGCCATGCCTGGTACTCATTAGGCAGGAAAGCCTAAAATGTGCTTCTGCAGACAAGTACCCCTTCTTCTCTTTTCTATAATAGCAAAGAAGAGTTTGGGGGTGATGGCCACTATGTCACAAATGCTCCTGATGTGGCTCCGGCCTGCCCTGCTCAGATGAGAGTCCAGTCAGAAGGGAAACTCTTCATTTTCTTTCTTCACCATTGCCTTTTTCGAACACATCTGCTCCACTCTACTTCCGCCAAAATGTCATTTTCTACCTACATTTTTATTGGTGCATATTAACTTTACAAATTACGTATGCGTCAGTGTGGCAGCATTTTCATAGAAGCGTGAAATCTCTATCTCCCTTTTGATCCTCTCCATCTCCCTTATGTTCCCTCCTCCCAAAAGGTAATTTAAAGGACAAATTTGAGCTGATTTGGTGGGAGATTTGCTGCTATTGTTGCTGCCTGTTAGCGAGAAGCTTAGACTTGCACTGGCCAGGGTTCCCCAAGCAGGTCACAAAGCCAGAGTGGGTGACTTTGCCTTCTTTTGCCTGTGCTCCTTCTGAGGTAGCACGAGAAAGAGAGAGAAGCTGATGTCCCTGCAGGAGGAGCTCACTGTGGAGGGCCTGCAGAGAGAGACATCTCCTACTTTCTGACTCCCAGGGGCAGTGGTGTGATGGGTGATGGGTTGCCAGTCTTAGGGAACACCAGAGGACCACCCAGGCCCCTTGTAATATTGCAGCCCTCTGATTCCATTGCATTAAGCTTGTCCCAGGCCCTGGTGGCCTTTTCTTCTCTAGGACAGAAGCTGCCAGGACTCTTAGACCCCAGATCTCTGCAGCAGTGCACATCATCTGGACCTGCAGGCAGGGGCTACAGTTTTCATGAATCTCATGGCTGTGGAGGTCAGGACAGCTGAAACTTTGGAAGCATGGGCCTTGGGCCTTATCACCTTTCAGAGTGTTTTTAGGTCCAGTGCAGACGGCAGCATGATATTCTGGCTGGGCTGGGGCATGGCTAGAAGAGAGGAATGGAAGGAGGCAGGAGACTTACTTTTATAAATATAGAAACTACCACCAATCCATTTGGACTCTTTGCAGCTTCTGTGACGTTCGTGTATAACTCGTGGTTATAGTGGATGAGCTGCACCTGACGGGAAGGAGAAGCAAGAGTCAGATCAGCAATCCAGCATCCAAAGGCGTAAGGTGCCAAGTGTGCACATGCACACACATGCACACGCGTGTGCCCCTCCCACGTGCACGTGTACCAAGGTCCCTGCACACATGTGCCAATGTTTTCTGGTGACAAGGGCACTTTTGGGAAGCTCAGTGCACGTCTGATTCTGGTTTCCTCCTAGGATGTTTCCCAGAAAGTGTGTAAAGTGAATGAATTTTTCTTATCAGAAAAGGAGCAGCCCTGACGGGGCTGATGCCTTGCTCAATGGCTGCACTGACAGCTACTACTGGCAGCCTTAGGGACAGCTGAGTGCTGGGGGCTTGCAGGTCTGCCCGCTGCCCTGGGCAGAGACTGCTCCATCTATGGACACAGGGAGGGAATCCTGATGCTGGCGAGCTGCAGCGTGCATGCTAATGCTGGCCTCCTCCTGCTCCTTCTCCTCCTGCTGCTGTTACTCCTCCTCCTCTTCTTCCTCCTCCAGCAAGGACCTGCAGTTTGCAGTCCTTGTGTACAGGCAGGTGTGGGGCCACTCACAGTGGAAGTCAGCACCCTTACCTGTTGCACCTCAATCCTTCTTCCTCCTCCTCCCCCTCTACTTCCTTCCCTCCTCCTCCCATCTGCAGACCCCTTGCCCATCCCCACAAAGCCTACCTCCCCGAGTCCTATCATCTTTCTTTTATTTTGCTCTTCAAATGATTTATGCTTTGCATTTTTCATATAAGAGAAACCATGTGATATTGAACTCATGTCTGATTTCTTTCACTTACTGGCACGGTCTTGAGGTGCATCTGTTTCCTTATAAATATTGCAAATTTGTTCTTCTCTATGGCTAAGCAGTATATCTGTATGTACACACACACACACACACACACACACACACACTCACAAAGCAATACATAATATATGTGAAACCCAGCAAGCATATAAACTTCAAATAATGTACCCCAGCATTTAGCCGTATGATCAAGTTAGTCCACACCACAAAGACTCAGTTACTTCCTCTGACAAGTGGGTATGCTTATGCCCCTTGGAATTTGTCTCAGGGATGTTGTTTTAGAAGATTTTTATAAACAGTACAGAAGTATAATTTTTGTATCCAATTAAAAATATAGATGTACAAAATAGAGACAGATTCCCCCCTTCACCTCTGTCTAATCATAGTCCAAGCAATATAACCACAAATATTGTAATAT